GAAGGGAGGGCTAGGAATGGGGAAAAAATAAGAACCAAGCTGCATCATGTAAAGGTACAAGTTCCCAATGAGAAATGTAATTGTGTTGTATACCTAAAATGTACCAATAAAAGAATTTTTTAAAAAAAGGTTTTTGATGCAAATGCTTATGTTAACCATACACTAATGAAGTAGAACATAAGTTTTTATATTGAACTCTTTTTTATTAAGAAAGTAATTATAAATGGAAACAAAGTCTATGTAAATAAGGAAGGGTGGTGGGGGTGAAGGGTGCATAGCTAATGAGGAAAAAAATAAGAACTAAGATACATCATGTTCAGGTACAAACACCCAATGATAAATGTAAATGTATTATATACCTAAAATGTACCAATTAATATATAAATTTGAAAAAGAGAGTAATTGTAGTATTTATATTCCCAAGTGAATTTTTAATCATGATGACCATCTTTAGACCCAGAAAGAGAAGATCATAGTCTAAGCCAGAGCTTTAGATGGTCTTGCCCACTATTTCCTCTGGTTACAGGGTAAGAGTAAGGGTGTTTGCCAGTTAAATCCTGTACTTTCTTTCTGTACTGTAGTATCAGATATTCAAGATTCCAGAATTGCTCCTTCATATGGGCTGATGTCTACTTTCAGGAGCCCCATGGCTTCGTTCTGGGATCGATGCTCCACTGGATTTACTGTGGAGCTTGTGTACTCAGCTTGAGGGGAAGACCAAAGTTGGCAGTTGTTTGTAACTAAGGAGGGACACACTTGTATATGAGGACTGGAATGCTCATACATGTACACATGGGAAGCCTCTATTAGTATAGGATAGAAATAGAGTCAGCGAATGGAATGGAAGTGGCATTGACTGAGGTTAGGAGCTGGTTCTCTGTGGTGCACACCACATGTTCCTTTACAATTCTAAGGAGTTCAGGCATTTAAAATCAATTTGGCCTCCCAGGTTCTTATGAGGTTATCTTTGCAAAGTGAAAAAACAAAATATATTTCAAGTTGTATTTTAAAATGATTTATTATTTTTTAAAATTTAGATATATTAGGTGTGAGTCCCCAGACTCATTCTTACTTTGGGGCTCCAATATTTAGAGGCCCTATTTCTTTTAATACTTGAAAATTATAATGAAACATTCATATAAGTATATAAATATATATTCAGTGCTTTAAAATGCAGCATTATGTCTAAGATTTGTGATATTTCTACATCTACTGAAGTTATATTTTGTAGTGAATTTCATAGCCTATTACATTTATACCAGTCTTGAATTTATATTCTTATTTTAGAGAATCTAATCTAATATAAATTATTTTCTCTTTTTGGTTAAGATGAGATTTAGAGGTTGATCTGTTTTGACTGGTTTGGTGCATGGTTTATCTTTTCCAGTATAGTATAATAAAAATGATCAACTGTGATGACTAACAAGTTCTCCCACATTTTTTTAAATAAATGAGAGCAAAAGAAATACTACTCTTCATCACACATCACAATGTGGAAAAGGATACACCATTTTAAGTATTCTTATGTAGTGTTTTTGCAAAGATTCATATTTTTCATTTGTTTTCATTCTTGACTATCCTCTTTTTTAAAACATTTCCCAAACCAAATTATTTTTATTAAATGTAATAATTATATAAATTATTTTT